AGTGGTGGCCGACGGCTGTGCGACCGCACGGGTGGCCGATGTGTTGCTGTTGAGGGGAACGCTGTTTAACCACAGCTGTGCGCCAAACATGATGTGGATCTTCAGGAACCAAACCATGCATTTCGGTGCCATTCGTCACATCGATTGCGGCGAAGAGTTGACCGTCACTTACGGCCCCAGACGTGGTGTCGACAGTCTTCCTGAACGACAGAAAACGCTTTTCACTAAATATTACTTTAAATGCAATTGTTTTGGTTGTCTGGAGGACGCGAAAGCCGTGTCAGCCCTACAGTGTCTGCGATGTAATGACGGACCCGTTCTCTGCCAACATATTAACGATGATATTAATTGGTGTCTCGTTTGCGGCCAAAGTTACGATAAACTGGAGGAAGCGATGACTGAAATGGAAAATATTTCTGTAAAAATTGACGAATTGTTGGCTGAACTCGAAAACGACACTTCCTTTGCAAAAGAGTCGTCTCTCCAGACGGCCATCGACTCAATCGATTTGCTCTCGACATTGATTTACGCCAAAAGCAAAGCTCTGTTTCTATACAAAAAGCGTTTGTCTGAACTCTGCTTTCACTACAAAAGATTCAAAGAGGCGATGAAATATAGCCACCAATTGATCCGCACGTTTGACGACAAACACTACAGAGAGTGTTGTCTGGAGACGTCATTCTTCGGTCGCGCGTATTATGAGTGCCTTTTGGATACCAAATGTGTGGATAGGAGTGAATGGAGGGTTTGTCTCGAGATTAACCAAAGGGTTTGCAATCTATTGAAAGTGTTTATCGATATTTGAATGTGGAATTACAAATCGGTGTTTTATTGTTGGGGTATTTAATAGTCGCAGATTTTTGACAACAATTAAAACATTTTTATCGATTTGTTATACTAACAAGAAAATAGTAACTTTAAAAGTTGTCCAAATTGAAATTAATGTGTGACTTAAAAACAATGTTCACACAGCGATGCTATACCTTAGCCACAATGCGAGTGATTCCCAAAGAATAGATTAGCATTATCTACACATTTAATAAAAATCCATAAATTTAGAAATCCCCATAGACTTAGCATTCCCCATAGACTTAACATTAATTCATAAAATTAGCATTAGCCCATAAACTTACGATTGTCTATATGATTTTTAATTTTATGATTTTTTGCTAGCATTTAATATAAAAACCACAAAAAATGAATGTTTTTAATAAGTTGAAATACACTTTTTAATGCTTAAGTTTAATGTCATAAATGAGTTTTAACATTGGTTTCTACCTCAAAGAATAGTATTCGACAGTAGATTATAAATCATATTATCCCTATGCCATAAACGGAGCATTACCCATGTTATCCCTGTAATCCTATTGTTAGGGGAACGACCAGTTCCGACGGGAAACACCACCCTTGACTCTTCTTAACTGTGTGTGGATGTGTGGGTCCGTTAACGGACAACAGTATACTCACACGTAGTATCTGCTGTACAGGTCAATGATTAGGTGTTGTTATGCTTGTTTCCGTATGTTAACCTATGGGTAGCTTTCGCTCGGTACAAATATGATGTGCATAAGCTGTTATGCCAACAGTATGTCTGACCGGTCCGGGCGGCCACGTATGTGAAGAACACGCGCTGTTATGTCTCTTAATCGATGGACAAACTTTTTAACTAACTTTATAGTAACTAAATTAACATTTAACTAATGATTCATTATTATAATAAAATAACATATAGTTTAACAAAAACATTATTTAACACAATAACATATTAAAACAGCGATTACATAACAAACATAACATAGACATTACAAACATTTAAAGACAAAACTATTCACACGAAACCAATGACAAATATTTAATTAAAAACATGCAATTTATATATTGCAAATATTTATTAATATTCATAAAACTAAAAACAAAAATGCTTACAGACATTTTTAACATAAACTTATTTTTAAACAAAACAAACAAAATGCTAAATATAAAATTTGAAATAATAACCAACACCTTAAACCCAAGGTTTAGACATAAAGTGCATAAGTTATATGCATACTGTGAATACTGAATACTTAATAACATTTGTAAGTATTCAACATTTAAAGAGATAAGCTCATAGTTACCTCATTACGTTAAATCCCATAAAGTTGGGGAGAAGGTAGCCGAACGATCGTATAAACTACATTATTTATAGGTGAATTGTGGTTAAAAATAAGATGATAATTTTACCAAAAATCGCCGAGTTTAGGCCATTTTTGTGATCGCGTGTATATTCGGTATAGAATTAGTTCATTAAAGAAATAAAAAACGAATAAATTTGCTTGTGACGTAAATTAAAAACATTTATAAATAATACTGATTTATTCTTCGCATCTAGGTGGCGCTGATTAGTCTGTCCAATCCGTAAAAGGTGCCGATATTTTGCACAACAATGGTTATTGTTGAAATGAAAATACTTATGCTTGCACGTGATGTAAAATATAAAACTTTATGAATTATAGTAATTTATTGCTTGCATCTTGGTGGCGCTGATTGGTCTGTCCAATCCGTAACAGGTGCCGATATTTTGCATAATAATGGTCATTGTTGAAATGAAAAAGAATAACTGGGCTTTTAACTTAAATTAAAAACATTTACAAATAATACTGATTTATTCTTCGCATCTAGNTTGCACGTGATGTAAAATATAAAACTTTATGAATTATAGTAATTTATTGCTTGCATCTTGGTGGCGCTGATTGGTCTGTCCAATCCGTAACAGGTGCCGATATTTTGCATAATAATGGTCATTGTTGAAATGAAAAAGAATAACTGGGCTTTTAACTTAAATTAAAAACATTTACAAATAATACTGATTTATTCTTCGCATCTAGGTGGCGCTGATTGGTCTGTCCAATCCGTAACAGGTGCCGATATTTTGCACAATAATGGTCATTGTTGAAATGAAAATACTTATGTTTGCACGTGATGTAAAATATAAAACTTTATGAATTATAGTAATTTATTGCTTGCATCTTGGTGGCGCTGATTGGTCTGTCCAATCCGTAACAGGTGCCGATATTTTGCATAATAATGGTTATTGTTGAAATGAAAATACTTATGTTTGCTCGTCATGTAAAATATAAAACTTTATGAATTATAGTAATTTATTGCTTGCATCCAAGTATTGAAATAAGTAATCCGTATTTTTATTTTATGTGTTACTACTAACATTGCTAATACTACAAACATTAATTATGGTTTAATGCATAAATAATGTCAAAATGATATTTAAATGAATATTATAGTGATTAATCTCGATTAGTTTAATAACTTAAATATTCAAAAATTCCTTAAGAATAATGATCTACTTATCGAATCCGTTCGATTTATATATCAGGGCAAAAGGGCCCATTAATGTATTAGTTTCCCGCTAACCGCCGATTTCAATGGTTTTGTTACTCCAAGTAATAAAATTGTGTTGACCTAGCTGTTATGTTTGTGGTCAATCGCCTGTGGGTCTCGTTGTTGTCATACAATCATTAAAATAAATTTCATCGTCCGTTTTATTCTACTCTAAATTCATTTAAAAATAATTATCAAAAATATTTTTACAAAAACGTTTAATAGAACTCATTTGGAAAACACTTCAAACCGATAGACAAACCGCCAAAAACGAGTCAAACACACAAATCGGCAACAGTTCCGCAAAAGACACGATAATAGCGGCCAAAATACCAGAGCATTGATATCTAACGTCCGGCTCTTCGGTAATGACAGCCCGTATGAGAGCGTCGACCACTTCGTTGGGATCGCGAGCTCTTCCCACTTGTCTCGCGTACGAAGACTTGGAGTTTTCCACACTTTCTATACCATTGTCTTCGCGAACCGATTGCGAGCTCTCCGACCAAACCTTATCCTGCAATCGATTCACAGCTTCTAACTGTGCTATCGGTGTCCTATCAGTCAATATAATACTATATATTAGACAAAACCTTTAATTTTCAAATAAATGCAATGAAATACCGATAACAAGAGGGCTCAACACTGATTACTTTGACGCCAAACCTAAACATCTCTCTCCTTAACGAGTCGTTAAACGCGAGTAAAGCGTATTTCGAGACACAATAAGCGCTGTAGCCATCGATGGCCAGTCGGGAGGCGAAGCTCAACACATTCACCACTCGTCCGCCCGATTGGCGCAAAAGTGGCAAATATTTTCGCGTCACACGAATGGCGCCCAACGTATTCACATCCAGTGTCCGCCGATACGCGTCCACCCCTTCACCCCATTCGGCAAACCCGGCGTGAAATACACCCGCGTTGTTGACCACTGCCCACAG